ATAGGGATATATTCTTACACACATGTACTGAGCATAGATCTCAAAGAAAGAAGCAGTAAATATAAGTTCCAGCAAAAACGTGTCAACTATTGGTTCGAACGGGATCAAAAGTACCGTGTGTAACACAAACACTTATTAGTAACCATTAATTAATTATATAAAATCGATGTCCAAACAAGTGATTTATTTGAATAGTTTTCGTGCACACTTTTTAATACGTAATATAGGCAGTCAAAGGGTTATCTAGTTAGTAAATGGATAGTTTCTAAGCATGCCCATAAAGGACATGCAGCAAGTTAGACAATGCAAGTCCTGCAAATAAGAAACGACTTTCTGCATGTTAGACGATCAAGCTGGTGGAAATAAAAATACAAGTTGCTGCATGTTTGACGAGTGCCTGCAAATAAGAAACGACTTCCTGAGTGTTAGACGATTGAGTTGCTGGAAATTAAAAAACCTGGGTTGCTGCATGTTAGACGGGTTGCTGCAAAAAAAGAAACTAGTCGTATGTTACTTAAACGATAAGCATTTCGCGCGCAGTTGTCGATGATGTATCGAGGGGCTTTTGATTTTCAATTGTACATGGACCCGTAAAACCTCGGAAACATATTATGTCTAATTCAAACACTCAATATATATTATAATATATTATAGTACTAAGTGCTTAACTGTTGGTGTATGCAGACAAGCAGCAAAAGGTTTCCAATGCATCCGATTCACGATCCAATATATTTTTTTCAATTTTTTTAAAATCTTGATTTCTTGTAACCGCTTCTTAGCAGAAGAGTACTAGCTATGAATATTAAAATAAAAATGATAGGGTAAAAGCTGCAAATTCGGCGTAAAAATGCGTTTGCAATCCGAACGATCCAGTTAACTGAAGTCCAGTCCATTCCATACATGCACGGTTCCGGATTTTCCAAAATACAAAAACTCTCAAAAAATCAGAATTTAGAAGCAGAAACCAAATTTTAGAGATTGGGAATGTTTTTTCTATACATTAAAATTGTCCATAACCTTTCAACTTCTGAGAATTCAACGATTTTTAAAATCCAATTATTTCCAACTTGGTCATCATATCGGTTCCATTTATAGCTTAACTCATTAATCTAATTGTTTGCTTTGGCTCGTATCGTTGAATTTTTTAGACACTTATTCAACTGGCTATCTACGCCGCTGGCCATTCAGAAAATCTTTACCACGCTTCTGCAGAATTTTGACCGGAGCGGTGGATGCGGGAAACTGGTGATAAGTTCCATGCCTTCTCACACTTAACCTTCGGTTTTAGACCGCGCATGTGCATTGGTAGGCGAATAACTTGGGTAAATAATCGTTTTAGCTATATGTAAAATGGTGCACTCAAAAATCGTTGATTTGGCTTGGTTAAGTCTTGGTTGAAATTTACTATACTTTTTTGTCCGCGCGTCGTGTTAAGGCCGCGCATGGTCAACGGTCAGCATTAGATCCGGGTACCTCTTGAAGACATGAACTTAAATTCTGTGGGTGAAGCATTTAAATTATATTTTTAAACTTTACAGATGTCGTCGTGTAGGACAGCTAGAAATCTACCTTTACATATCAAATGTATGTTTTGAGGAACTAGGAACTAGACCTCGTTCTAGGAAACAGGTCAATTAGGATATGAACGAGATTAAAGGGAAATTCTTTGTATGTGGTTCTGATTTTTTATGTCCCCCACCCCCTCCCCATTCAAATGGAATTTCTTAGAGAGACACCCTCGGTACATTTCGTGCGTCGATTATTATTTTCAAGCGGCTTCTCAATACCCTCCCAAGGACGTCTACCCTCATCTTTTTAACTAGCCCCTCCCCTTGGAATCCTCAAGGGGAAGCACCCCCATTAGATTCTTCATCAGTGTATCGAGAGGGGTTACCCGAACCTTGGGATACGTCTAATGCTCTAACTTCTACATTTTCGTTAATTTTAGCTGATCCAGAAATTACGACTTGAGTACCACCACGCACCAGCACATCCACCTTATCCAACCTCCTGGTAGATCCACACTGTTTTGTATATAAAATGCTATATTGGAAACATTTATTAAATTGTACTTTGAATTTATAATGCTGTCGACCTTTTTCGTCCTGTGAAATTGATGGCTAACCACAGGGAACCATGATTAGAAGATTCGGCGACCGCATGGGTACGGTTCACTTCCGTCTCCACAGGCCATACGAGCCTAATACATTCTATTGAGAACATTTGATTGAAAAGCGGCTTTTTTCAGTACATACACTTTTCCAAAACATCTAAATATAGGAATCAACGATTATTTCCAGATCGCGGTCCAGATCGCGCATATATCTCTAGAAAATTACAGTCCAGTCTCCTCTCTTCTTGTTAACACAGGATACCCATTCCCATAGATAGTTTAAAAACATTGACACGTACAAAATGGCGGCAGAAAAGTTTGTCCTCTTGTTCTTCCTGTACTTTTCTCAAGGACTTCCCTACGGAATTCAAACCAAACTCATCCCAATATTATTACGAACTCGCTCAGTCTCACTATCCAAAGTGGGGTTTTCTCGTTTTCTTAGCTTTCCATGGCTTTTTAAGGTGTTTATCGCCAAGTATCTTGACTCGTCCTCTTCCATTTGGTACTGGCTCACTATGACATTTGTTGGTATGGCTGTTTGCTGTGGCGCTTCGGGTTTATGCGGGACTCATTTAACGCTTGTAGTTCTTGCTAGTGTGTTTGGGCTTAATGTAATGGCTGCCAGTCAAGATATTGCTGTTGATACGATGGCAATTAGAATACTTCATTCGCGTGAGTTGGGTAAGTGTTCATCAACTTCATATGATTTGTCTTAGTACCAATTTGACAGTCTTGATTTAAATTAAATCTAGCACCCTCTTAATTAGGGACAGTACAGTTATTAAAGGGAGGGGGGATAAGATTGGAAAATATATGAGATTAGTATGGGGAAAAGTGGGAATCTAAGATTGGAAAATATGAGAGACCAGTATGGAAAAAGGGAAAATATGGAGGGGGGGGGGGGGGGGGGGGGGGGNGGGGGCGGACTGTAGCACCCCCTACCCCAACCCCTCCATGGACCCTGTCCTCCCTCTCCCTCTCTCCTCTACACTGAGTAACCTCATCCTGAAGTGCTTAAATATGAGAGAATGCAGGGGAGAAATCTGTCCTTCCAGTCAGTATGGCTTCCACATAATAAAGGTCCTTCAGCTTATAAGACTACCACACAAGGGCTATGATGACCAATTCACACCCAGTGTGGTAAGGTGTCAACTTATGGTTAAGATATCAACCACTTACAGACACTTTACCCTTATCTTACTTACTTCCACCCAAGACAGGAAATGACATCTAGTAGCAGCAACCTATAATAGCATTATTATAATTTTCTTAATATGTTCCAGGTAAAGGAAATATTGCACAAGTAGTAGGATATAAAGTTGGAGCGTTGACTGGGGGAGGACTGCTAGTTTGGATGTCTGCTTTTGCAAACTGGGAAGTACTGTTCATCATGGTAAGCTGTTTTTATCTATCGTGTGCAGTATACTCATACAAAATGCATTTGAAAGGGGAACCTTATTCTTATATTAATACTGTAACGAAGCAACAAACACAAAATGAAACCCAGCACAAAAGTTATGGACCTGAGAATCGACGAAAAAACACTTTTCAGTTGTTCAAGTCTGTTGTTAAAACTAGAGGCTTTGTGTGGATAGTTGCCTATGTTTTTGTTTATAAACTTGGTGAACAAGGAATGGCAAGCATGGTACCTTTATTTTTATTGGATAATGGTTTTTCTCCTGGTGATGTTGGACTCTTGACTGGCATATTGGCTCAGTTTTTCTCTATATTTGGATCTACGATGGGTGGTTGGATGGCAAGTGGATGGAACACTAGAAGGTAGGTGTCAAAACTAGTGAACTATATATATTATGATTTCAACTTAGATGGCTGTCTGCATATTGAACATGTTTGAGATCTTACTATAGAAATCATTTGTACTATACTGCATATCTTTGTTCTTGGTTGGGTATACTAAAAACAATGTAGTTTATGCATAATACCCAAGCTATACCAAAATGCACCTTGTTTGTTTAACACAGAAAAAGCCATCAAAAACAGTAAATTCTAGAATTTTATTATTTTGAAAAATATTTAATTTTTTTCAAAATGATTAAAAATAATTTAATTTTAAATGAATTTTACTTTCATTTTTTAACCAGTCTTGTTGCTTTTTATGCCTCACTATATACTTTCCCATTTCAATCCATGTGTCATTCCCTAGATTATCATTCCTTTGTTTAATAGTAAGAAGACACATGAATACAGGTACTATTAAAACAAAGAATCCTATTCTCTAGAGAATGACATGTGGTCTGAAATGGGAAAACATTATGCCTAAGGTAGACGTTCATTAAGTGTGTACTTATTTTTTTGACTCATTAATGTTGTTAAAATTATTATTTATCCTTTCTTCCAGAGATGAACTTATAAGGCTTCTCAAATGGATTTCAATAGCAAGGCTTATTCCCATGGTAACCCATTGCCTAGCTGTGTCAACAAGCCAATCATCGACTGTTCTTCTTGTCTCAGAATGTATATTGCAGCTAACTGGAGGAATCATTACCACTATAACTTTTACTGTTATGATGCAGTTTTCCAAAGATGTACACTCTAGTCTACAAGCCACTCATTTCTCTATGCTGGCTACTGTGGAAGTGTTGGGGAAGCTCACTATGATGTCTCTGTCAGGAGGTGTAGTTGACGTTATGGGATATTCATTATATTTCCTGCTGTGTTTTCTCCTGTCTCTTGGTGTTATTCCCATGTTTATCTTCTGCGATCCTGATATAATGGTCACACGGACTTAATGAAAATCAAAGGACTTGTTCCACTGAATTGTTTAAATATCAAGAAAATTCTGTATTCTAGTTAACGACTACTGTACATTTCAAGGACCAACTTTGAAATATTCCTTTTAATAATAATAATAATAATAATAACTTTAAGCAGCAGTAAGGGGGACTCGCGGTGACCAACCGCTCCCAAGCGGGCAAAAGCCGTGCTCACGTACGAGGGGCTCCAGCGGGAAATACCMGTGTCCCATTATACGTTGCGCGGCGATTTCCTTACTGCTGCTGTGTTAACATATTTGTTTTATATATGCATGAATGTAAAGAATTTTGCCTTAATTTATGTGTGGGGCCGCAAACGTAGTCTAAAATATTTCTTAGATATAGATGG